ATCCATTACATGCCGGCCGATAACTGTGTGCAGTGTGTCACGAAGAGAGCGATACAATGGACAAGTAGTGACTCAGTGCTGTGTGAAGGGATGGAGTGCACCTTAGGTATTGTCTATCATATGTTGCAGGGCCTCATGGCCTGCCTGGCTATTTCCTTCTCTCTCCCTCTGCTGTCTTCCTCTCTTCCTTCCCTATGGGTCCCGTGTGTATATGGTGGTGTATTCATGTGATTGGCTGATTGTTGCTTTGATGGCTCAGAGGGCGCTCATTGTTCTACTTCGCCCTTCTGGCTTCTGTACACTTGCCATGGCTCTTGCTGGGCGACAGCGCCCGTTCTTGTGTATGTAGGCGGAATCGGTGTTTGTCAACGTTCTACAAGGCAGCCGGTGCTCTCTGTTGCCATCTGTTTGTCCGCCGGTGCCAGTGCAGGGAGGGGTAGACAGGCCGTGTGCATGCTTTGCATGTACATGCTGCTAGTTTAGTGCGTGAGACAGCAGGATCCCTCCGGGGTTACAGACACGAGTCTCGTTAAACACAATAACCAACCAACCAACACCGCTAGCGGGCGAGCGGCCAAGCTGGGCAGTAGGACAAGGCCACTGAGGTGGGGTCGGCAGTTCAGTTCCTGCAGCAACCGCCTAAAAGGGGCGCAGAGAGAGGGGTTTGACGGCTGCCCTAAGGTCTGCGGTCCGAAGAGGGGGTGTCGAGGAAATGGTGAATGCGTCCCACAGGTGGATAACCACAGCTTAGCTTATTGGGTTGATCCGTAACACGTAGCCTCTCTCAAGACAAAGACAACAGCTCTCGACACCACACACCGGTTTTGTAGACACAGCTACCTTTTTTGACTTGTTGCAGTCGCACCAGGGCATTGTATTGTGCTGGCAGCACCCACAATTAATGCCTTCCGTTTTCGGCCTCTTTCTTCTCCTCCTTCTCCTCGGCGTGCAGCGCTCTGTCACCTTCATTCGGCTGGACCCGGACGAACGTTCCTTTCTCGACGAAGATGGCCGCACAGTCATCTTCCACGGTAAGTAAGGCGAATGGGGTGACTGACTCACCCATGCACGGAATTTGTGTGGTGCCTGCCTGATATATCGCGTGAGTGTGCGTGCCAACTCTCTCTCTTGCTTGCTTCCGCCTACAGGCGTCAACGTGGTTGTCAAGCAGCCTCCGTAAGCTGCGAGAAGGACAAAGAGAAAGGCTTCAGTCTTCGTCACATCGATAGGTGGCACCCCACTCTCGACGGCTTCGACCCCATTTTCTCGCTCACGACAGATGAGATGGACAACCTGAGAAAGTGAGCAGGCGATGCGCACCAGGTGGTGTACGATGAGTGGACATTCTGGTTGCTACATAATGTGTGTGTGTGTGTGTGTGTGTGTGTGTTCGTGCGTCTTGATAACTATAGATGGGGTTTTAATCTCGTCCGGTTGAACATGGCATGGCCGGGTGAGAGAAATAGGTTTGTTGATGCGCGTGTGTGTTTGGAACAGATCTGTTGATGCGACCCGGTCTGTCTGAGCGTCAGGTGTGGAGCCTTCTAGTGGCACACTTGACGACGGCTACTTGGGTGTGCTTGAAGACATTGTGGACAACTTGGGGGAGAGAGGCATCCACACACTTCTTGACGCACACCAGGACCTGTTGGCCGGAGACGTCAGTGACGACAGGGACGGCGGGACGGACTACTGGTGGGTGAGGAAACAAGACTGAAGTCACGGACTGACTGCATCCTATGACGGACGATCAAGAAAGGGGAAAATGCGATGGGGTGTTGTGTGTGTGGGGTGTGTGTGTGTGTGTGTGTGTGCATATGTGTGCGACGTTCAGTGGCCATGGTATGCCCGACTTCAGGGTTGCTGAGGTCGAGGAACGCAAATTCGAGCCTCAGAATGTCCAAGAGTAAGCATGTCACTGTCAACGAGAGTGCTTCTTTCTCTGCATCCGTCCGCACGCTGATGCGCCTTATGTCATTTCTGCAGACATCCGTTGCCGGTCGCTCAGCCCGGGCCGTCCGTGTGTGAGGAAATATTCTTCTTTCAAGTAAGACACACAACACACACATACATACATACGCACATACCCACGGACAGACAGACATGTACATACATCCATGTGGAGGCACGTACGTATGTGCGTGTGTATGTGTGGATGTGTGTGTGTGCTCGAAGCTGTATTTCTCGGAGCGCATCTCGAAGCTCTTCCAGGCTCTATACGATGACGCGCATGACCTGCAGACGGCCTTCGTAGAGGTGTGGAAAAAGGCCGCTGGCGTCTTCAAAAATAATCCGTTTGTACTCGGATACGAGTTCCTGAACGAGCCTTGGTATGGCAACCTCTACGACAAACCAAGTATGTATCTATCGGTGGGTCATGATGTGCTCATTCTGCTTCTGGGGAAGCGGACTGATTACCTATAATGTGTATGTGTGAACGTATGTGTCTTTATGTATGGGTGCGTGCGTGCAGGTCTATTGTTGGTGCCGGGGAAGGCTACGAACGATAACCTCGTCCCCATGTATCGACGGCTCGCGAAAGCCATTCGCAATGAGGCCGGAGACGCCAACCACATGTTGTTCTTCGGCAAGATCCCTCTCAACATCTTCACGACCCGCTTCCCTCGCAACCCTCTGCACCTCCCCAGGGACGACCCCGGGGCAGTCCTCTCCTTCCACCCCTAGTGAGCTGAGCAGATAGAGGGATGAGGGGGGCAGAGAGAGGCAGGAGAGATGACGGCGTGTGTGTGCTGTCGTTGTGTCCTTCTTTGTCCATCCACACATGTACAGCTGTGCCGAAACCCTCAACACAGCCACGGGGCAACTCACGCAGGCGCGTCTACGACCAGCCCAGCTTGGACCTATCATCGATCAGGCCTTGTGCAGCCTCACGGTTGAGTTGAACTTCGGTAAGTCAATATATATGCAGGCAGGCAGGCAGAGGTTGACTGACGGGAAGGAGGGCGCAAAAATAGAAGTAAGTACCTGCCTGTGTGTGTGTGTTTGTGCGGTGTGGTGGGCGTAGAATCTGTGGAGCGAGACCTTGAGCGAATGGGTCGCAATGTGGGTTCCATGCCAACAGAATTTGGCGCCGTGCCCCCCACAGAGGAAGCTTTGAAGTCGCTTCTTCCCCTGTTAACGAAGACCGATGAGGTGTTGCAGGTATGTAGCTCATTCATATGAGGCATGCATCCATGCATTGCTGTTCTTGTCTTTATTCTTGCGTGCCTGCAGAGTTGGGTGTTCTGGACCTACAAGGAGTCAGCAGCTATTACGGAGGTAGCCAATGATCAGGGCCTGTACTCCACCGACGCTGAATCGATTGGTCAGACAGAGGCACACAGACGCACGGGGACGTGTTTGAATTGGTCTGGGTATTCTGTATCCTTCTGTGTGTGTGTGTGTGTCTGTGTGTGTCCGCAGATGACTTCCAGCTGAATAAGCTGCGGACCTTGACTCGCACGTACCCCCAGGCTACAGCCGGCAAACTCGTCTCCTTCTCCTTCAACCAAGACACGGGCTTCTTCAAGATGGTTTACCTACCAGACCCCACCATCAACAAGCCCACAGTCATCTACCTGAACGAGAACTTGCCCGTCTACAGTGGGCGCTTCGATATCGATGTCAAGCCAGCAAACCCTGAGGGCCTTGAGGTGACCGTTACCAATGATGAGAAGAACTTCGTGAAGATTCGGGTCAAGCGAGTGAGTAGTGGGAATAATGGGGAGTCCAGGCCTGAGGAGGAGGAGCAGCATCTCAGAGAATTGGCTGGGCAGACGGTTGATGATGAAGCTGCGGGGATAGCTAAATCGGATGCCACAAAACCGTCTGCTGCAAAAGAACCTGCTGCTGCTGATGATGACGAGACCGAGTCTGAGAACGAGACCCCTCTGTTTGATCGTCCAGTGAAGAATGCGCCGGAAGAAGGTGGCGCCTTGACGGTGATTATTAGAGCCAAATAAGGGCTCTGCCAACCTAGGTACCTTTTATGTGCTGCATCACACAACCGGTGGCAAGCAGACGCGGCTCAGTTTTGTTTTTGTAATGGTGCGTGGTATGAAGGTATCCCTGTTTAGCATAGATGTAGGTATTGGAAGCCATGCATGGGTTTTCGGATGGGCGTGCATGTGTATGCAGTCGGTCGGCTTTTCTGAATTAAGGCAGGCAGGCAGGCACACAGGCAGGCACAAGGGGAGGGAAGACGTTTAGTACGTAAGGCATCACAGCCTTTGTCGGTACGTTTTTCCCGCCTGCCATCAGTGCCATGCACCCGCGGTTGAGTTCGTCCTCCTATTCCCAGCCATCAGACTTGCGTGTGACTCAATTTGTTCTCCAGAATGCTCGAACAGACATACATGCATCGACTACTTAATCCCTTGTGTCTCCTCTGCATACGACACACGAGTAGGCGAGACCGCCAGCCTCCAGCTGCGCGTCACGTAAGACTAGATAAGACCTGTCAGTGACTGGCGCGACAGACACACACACACACACACAGATAGACAGGCAGGTAGACAGGCAGTGCCAGACAAACACGCAGCCCCTTTTGCAGACTCGCGCGCCCCCTGGCTGCCCTCCCCTGTCTCATCACCATGTGACCCTTCAGGCCTGCCAGTGGTTCAGGCGATGGCGAAAACGCAAAGCATCATGATTGAATGGCTTCAGCAACGGCTCACCGACAGACTGCACAAGATCCGTTTCGACGACCTCTTCAACTCCCTCCCGCCCAACAGCAGAGCCCGGTGTCGACTGTTGAGTTGTCGAGAGCCCCTCTCATCCGGCTGGCTGTCTGCTATCCCCTACAACGACCACAAGACGCTGAACGACTTCCAGTACCGTCTC